AGTAAAGCCACTTACCTGCTGGTCCCACCGCGAGGAATCGAACCCCGTATTTTAGCATTGTAAGTCTGCAAAATTACTGCTCTCCCAACGGGGGATAGTGTGGAAACATCACTAAGATCGAAAATATTTTAAACACTTTCTCTAATATTAATTAGAGTACATATTTATTATCAATTACTTTACCACGTAATAGCCTAAAATGTTCTTTTGTTTTTGATAATAATAATATAGGGTACAAACTAATATTTCATAACAGTGAGTGATTGAAAAATATATAGCATTTCTTCGTTTACTCATCTCTGTAACTGAACCAATCAAAAAGACGCTCATAAGTTTCCAAAGCATAATTTTCAAATAATTTATTTTCAGCATAACATTTGTATATTAGATACAGACGTATATACAATATTAAGTTTTGTTTACGACAGACGCAGTTCCAAAGTAGCAATAACGTTCCTTAAACCATCTTACTGACAGGCCTGTTAAGGTTACATTGGACATTTTGCCATTCAATAAAACTACACAAGTTTCAACCTCGGTAATAAAAGCCATGAACGAGTTATCTGCAATAACAATACGCTATGAATACATACTTGTTAACATAGACGTTTATTTAGATAACACTGGAGTTCAACAAAGTTCCACTTTCTATGACAATGTGTATATAGTAACTAACAGTATTCAGTTCCTTTAGTTACAATGTAAAAGCACTTGATACGATCCTTCTTGTCATGTTGCGTTCACTTTTCAAATGGTATAAATATATATTTATCTGAAGCTTAAGAAGACAAAAACTTTACCAGCAAACATCTTAACTGAACTCACCGATCCAGTAGGAGATTCAATATTTTTTCTTTCTGCAAAATATGTAGACAAATTTGTATATTATTTTACAGTACAAGAAAGACTGGAGATAAAGAAAAATTGGAAAATGGACTCCAAAGCAAATGACACGCAAAACGTTTAAAATACTTAGCTAACGTAACAAAAACAGTTTTTGCTTGTGTGTACAGATACTTGTAAACCTTTACAAGCAATAACTATAAAAACAAATAAATAAATAAAAAATGTTAATTTTAGTTTCCTTAAGATATATTTTGCTTAGTCATTTAAATCAATCAATTGACTCCGGTTCAATTTAGTGCAAGAGTCGTCATTAACGTTCTTGTATATGCATGCTGTGTAAAGAAACCTCACCCCCCCCCTCTCCACCCCACCAAGCTTCTCATACAATTTTTATATGAAACGAGCAAAGTAGTGTTACTTTAAGTTTGTTGTTTTTTTGTACATTGTTTTAATGTATTTTGACGTGTACACTTTTAAGCTTCTTTTCCCATCTAAACTATGTGCAGCTGAGAGAGAGATCGTTCGTGATATAAAGGAGAAGTTGTGTTACGTTGCGTACGATTACGAAGAGGAAATGAATTTATCTGCAACTTGCAACTCGCTGGAAAAGTCTTACGAACTGCCCGATGGTCAGGTTATAAATCTATGTAGTGAGAGGTTTCGTTGTCCAGAGTGCCTATTTCAGCCGTCCAATTTGGGTATGGAAGCCTGCGGTATCCACGAGACCACGTACAACACCATAATGAAATGTGACGTTGATATTCGTAAAAACCTATATGCCAATATTGTACTGTCTGGTGGTTCTTCCATGTTCTCGGGTATTAATGATAGGATGCAGAAAGAAATTTCAGCGTTAGCTCCAGTCACAATGAAAGTTAAAGTAATTGCTCCACCGGAAAGAAAGTACTCGGTTTGGATCGGCGGTTCCATTTTAGCATCTTTATCTACTTTTCAACTGATGTGGATTACCAAGCAGGAATACGACGAATGTGGCCCGGGGATTGTTCACCGTAAATGTTTTTAATATCTTATTAGAAATAGATATCAATTTTCAATAATGTGTATTTTTAATACCCATCTCACCCCATTAAAATGATAACACAATTACTTATCTCACGGCAAACTCCAAGTATTGTCAAGTAAACTGGAGCACGGTAAATATATTATTAGCACACCTTTTGTAACATATATTATTGATATAATAAAATACGAACATTAGATAAATTTTTTACAATAAATGTACAAATATAAATATTTTATAACATTACAGCCCTAAAACTCCCAAATAATAATCAAAAGTTTAACTCTACAAATTCTAATTTTCCCAAGTTTGAAATAGTTTTTGTAAATAAAACTTTCTTTAAAGTGCTATAAGGTTAGTTTTATAAAATCCAATACTGTTCGTCATTAACTTGTACACTCTTTTCCTTTATTTTTCAATAAAAGAAAATAATTATGTAATTGTCTAATTGTTCATTTTTTTGTCAAAAATAATATATTTATAACTAGGCCAAATATCCAACGCACTGTTTCTACTACAAATTTTGAGTAAATTAAAAATTTAATCTTTTTTTATATTTAAAGATTATAAAGAAATTTTCTATTATTGTCTCCCATATTTTTTGAGCCTGGATCAAACTCCTAATTATTTTTCGTGAAGGAGTGTTAATATTTGAATACAAATTACATCTCACTAAAACAAAGGCACGAATTAAGTTTTATCTATAGTTAGCCTAAATGACTAAAATGAGAGCTAAAAAAAGGCTTAACAATCGATTGCTAAGTTCATATGGTATTATCTGATGTTAATACAGTTCTAAAAGTATTTTTTTTTCAAATTTACCTTGAACGTTTTATTATAAATGACTTCCTTGTTTCTTCCACTCATAAGTTCCTTAGAATTGATAAGACTTCCTTACCTAATATACTTTTTTCTTTATATTTTTTCATCAAAATTACAAATATATGATACTGATTTAAACCTTGTATTTTTGGTAAAATAAGACCTTTTCTGTAATTTAAATCATTCCAAGTCAAAGGATTGGAACATGTAAAAGCAAAGAAATGTCTGTTATTGATTCAAGCTGGGTCCATTAACAAGGCATTTTAAACTCATTGCTTCTAGACAGAACTCCGTTACCTTGCGTTGGAAATGAACCTTTCCGATATCTGAAGTTCGCGTCCTCCCAATGACAGTCGATTTCCGCCAACATTTTGAATTGCTTGTGTTAATTCTACTGTAAATCAATGCACAACTAAACTTTTATAGACTAAAGAAAGTTGAATCTACGATAAATTGTCGAATAAACCATGCAATAAGGTCATAACGGTAGTAGAAAACAACTTGGTGATTTATCGCAAGAAACTTAATTGAACCATTGTTTTCTGCCATGTAAATAAGACCGTTTTGACGCTGTATTTAAAGCTGCTGCAGAGCAGTAAAACAGAATTACAAAATGACATGGGTAATAACTAAAAATATAAATACTTTTCTGATACAATGTTGTTATTAATGTCAGATGTGCTCTCAAATCGTGTTGGATTCACATGGAAATCTTTTTGACAATTTTTACTCTAAACAAGACTACATTCAAAATATGGCTTTATATATTTGTTTGAAAGACTCAACTTTCTTGAGAATAGGGTAATTCCATAAATATATTTCAGATTTATGTAAGCATGTTGTTAAGCTTGTTTTACAAATGCTGTCCTCGAAGGTAAGAGTTCCGATATCATACTGGCATTTCGCAGAGTAATTAAATATGTTGAATAGCCACAATGTTCACTAGATTATGGGTATAATATCACACCTTTCTTTTAAAAATTCGGTTGTTAAACCTTATATAAAAATAACGTGTTTTATGTACACACTACTATTGTCTTGTCGAATACTATATTTCAAATACTAATAGTCTGTAAGTTGGAATGATTCTCTGTAGGTTTGGAAATACCATACAAAAAACATATTCGTATTTGAATTCCCTAATTTTTTTTTTTTATCGAAGTTACAATTGAAGTAAAATATCCATCGACGACAAAGTCTCCATGATAGCCAATAGTCTCCATTTATTTTTATCATGGACTTAAAGAATAAATAAAAGAAAGACAAAATCAAAATAATGTTTGAATATTCTTATGCTAACTTATAAAACTACGGGGAATGAATTTTATATTACGAGTCTTGTTTGTTTGTAGTTAATCACAAAGCTACACAACGGACTATCTGTGCTGCGCAAATCACTGTTACCTGTACAAGGTAACTAACAAAGAATTTCCCATTAAAAAATAACAAACTACAAGTGCACCATATGTTCCTCAAACAATTTTGTGAGAAAAAAAAACTACAAAACCTATGAACAAATTTCTTGTATATGGGACAAAGTTTGTTGCAACCTTGGGAGAGCCCTTTGTAAGACAAAACACAGGCAATTTGTACGGACAAGGTGCTATGGTCTTTCCAACATGGAACAAAAAATACAAATCTTGCAATGTATTTTTTGGTTGCTGCAGGGTTCTCTTATAAGGGAAAATTTAAGCATTCATAAAGTGCACAGTAAAAACAAAAGTGAACTTGTTGGATATACAAGACTGTTTAGTGTCGGTAGTATTAATTATTTTGTGAGTTAATATTTCATGCTTGTTTAGTTTTTTTTTTTATAACAAGAGTTAAAAATAATTATTTTAAAGGAAATAGTTATGACAAGTTTGGTTCTACAACTCGGTAAGTCGTACCTTGTGTTTGTAATTCATTGATGTCGAGGCTACAGAAGTTTACAGAGGCCTCAGTGATAAGTATATAAATAACTGCAACGAAACAGCGAGAGCAGGGAAAAAGTAAAGTCAAGAGGAAGAAAACGTGAAGTTATTGGCCTTAACCGTTGATATTTTAAAGTGAGATTAACAGTTTGATAGAGATAAGGAAAATAATTAGTCTTGTCAAAGGGTGTTCTAAACTAATTGAACCCGCCCATGTGGACTCTGACGGAAAGAAGACAATTATTTGAAGTTCAGGATACAACTGCGGTAACACACGAAGCAACGTAAGTGAATTATTCACCGATACTATTGTCATAAAAAGTAGAGAAAAATAGTTTGGCTTGTCAAATGGATTCTAAAGCAATTGAATTAGCCAAAGTGGACTTTTGAGAAAAAGAAAAGAACTGTATATTGTTTAAGATAAACTGTGATCTCCATAATGTAAAGAATTTTTGTACATACGTTTATCTCGTTATGAATATTTTATCTTAAAACGATGTTGTCAGTTTATTGTTAGAATTTATCGCCAACAAGTCACAGATACCTACTGTAGAAGAATCTTTAACACCAACTCATATGTACTTAAAAGCTCACTTTAATCCCTGTGGTAGCTTATGAACACCAACTATGCTATATAGGATGCCATGAAGGTACAGTTCTAAAAGTGTCAAATCACATGCTTAAGTCCATAGCAGCACTTCTACAAGCTATGGAGAATGAAATTGACGTTCACCGTACTCTCTCCATTCATTATTACCTTTAAAGTCACCTGACTGGATTCTTATGAACTTTTGTACATACGACTTGCTTAAATGTGATCCTGAAAGTCAACATACAAGTACAGTGAAGAATCTGCCCTTTTTTGCAGACGCTTGTTACAATGGAAATGAGGTGTTGGGCAATAATGCACCAAGACCATACTGAGTACAATAACTAGCAAAAGTAGTTTCGAAGACAGTAAGGGATTTAGAGCATCATTCTAGTAAGTGTGAGTAATCTTCCAAACACCTCCTGGATACAGAGATAAGCACAGGTAGTTTTAAGTGTTCACTGGGATTACAAATGACATGTATCATAAGGCCCATACACGGAATGTTTGAAGGGGGGTTCTAATTTCTGAGGTCAAAATCCAACACATCTTGTGTAAAGCACAATCGGCATGAAAAGCTTTTTTATTGCTATGGGGGTCTGGGGGCATGCGACTATTTCAAGCCAAAAAATGTTAATGCTTCATCAGAGAAATGCAGATGATGTAAAAAACGTTAAATACCATAAGAAACTGTGATATAACTATATACGAATAATTTGTTTACATCACAAAAATAGGGGGTTCTGTTGAATCAAGTGATAATGAACAGCTAATATTGAATGTATTGATGGATGATGATGATGATGAATGTTCCACTAAATTTACTGACAAACTGTAGTTTTGCATTCAAAAACTAGTCATAACAATACAATGTATTATTTTTTTTATTTTTAGAACACACAGGACAACATAAAGAGCTCTTAACATTTATTTTCTGAAAACCAGTATCAGAAGTGACTGAACACAGTAAACTCACTAAAACCCTGTGTTACATACTACTTTCAAATACTGTAAACAATAAACACACACACAAGTATATATGTATATATATATTACAAACCTTTGGATCTTGATAATGGTGAATACTGTTAATGTATATAGTTTTTAACTATGTTCTGAGAAAAAGTCTGGATAATGTTAAGTTATGGAAACAACCGAGATACAAAAATATTCCACTTTTTAAAAGGAATTATAAGTAATTGATGTATAAGCTTTAACTACCTAACCTGTAACACACATTAACTTTCAAACTAGCCAAAGTCGAAGAAAATTCAAATGTTTCAGGTATCATGTACAGTACTTAAAATCTTATAAACATACAACAAATGTTGTACATAATTTGTATTAATAATGTAGTATTTGTTCATAAGTGTTTAAAACTCTTATTTTTCATACTTCTTTAAATGATGATCATAAGGAATTTGATACTATGCAAAATTTGATAACTGCAGTATAACTGTAAACATCCACCATTTTAAGACTCAAAAAGAGTATCCCAATGATGTGGGAGTTCTTTGCAATCACATATCCTCTAAAATTATAGAACATAGCTATCATGTGACTGTCATTTTAATGAAAAACAAGAGTTTAACAGAACTCCTGAGAAAACCCTGATACACAAACAAAATCCACAATGCATACTCAATGTAACTTTTGATACACAATCTTAAACCAAGCTGCACAAACTAATCACAAGATAAATGAGCTTTAAATAAAGTGATTTCTTTAATTCAGTTTTGATTTTGACAAGTGTAGAGCACTGAAGAGTTGAAACATGCTTTGTTTAAAAATAGCCACTGTAGTTGCAAGATTTTCTCTTATTAGCAAGGAAGACTGATTATATACATAGCAATATTTGTCACATACATATTACACAACCATATAGTAGTTATATTATCCCCATAAGCCTGTTATTTTAGCAGACTAAATCTTATCTGATACCACATCCTGGCTATTAGTATGCACAATATAACAGTGGAGCAGATAAAGGTTTCAAGATTTATCATCAAAAGCAACAAAATGATTCTCATAACTTTAAAAAGAACATTTCTGTTTTCATCTGACCAAAGCACATACACACGTATACATAGCATGCCACAAAGTGAACCTTTCACAACACTAAAAAAAAGTATCCAACTTCTTAATAAAAATTTAGTAGTTTTGTATTTCAATAGGTTGGAACATTATAGCTTACAATAACCATAGCTACTGTATAAGCAAATAAAACATTACAGAAACTTATGTAACAGAAAGTGATCTACCACCTTGATATGGTTAAGTATAACTTCATACATCAGTGGGTTTGGCTTTATTGGACTTGGTAGGTTAATGGGTTGGGCTTTTGTACATAAAACACCTGATGTAGTCTGCCTCTCACAGCATATCACATTAATAAGTGGTTATATAACTTTTTAACCAACAAATGAATAAAAGTGTGGTCTACAAGTCTTAATGCTGAAAACACAGCAAATTAAATATATCAAAAAACATAATTTAACAGAGTAAAAACAATCTTTCACCAAATTGGATGTTATTTCATTACAGCAAAAGCTAATAATTTTCAGTAACTAAGGTATGTCAATCAAAACATTTCTCATTCTGATTCTGTCTTAATGATGTGAAATTTAATATGAAATCGACTGATCTAAATTCTTAGAGTTAAAGTAATTTATTGAACCTAACCAAAATGATCAAAGCACTCTAGAAATAAGAGTGTTAGCATTTATAATTCCTTTGTAGCTTAGTGAATATTCAAAATTCAATAGATTTATAGCATGGAGTCACAGAATTAGCACAAAATAGGTTACAACATATACATAATTATAATGTGGCAACAATGTATACATTGTTTCTGAAAACAATTCACATTTTAGTAGGCTTAAAAGAACAGTTCTAGTTCTACAATTAAAACTTTTGCACATTACAATCTTGCTTCCAGAATATAACTGAGGTTAAAATTTTTGTACCCATATAAACTGCAGAAAATATTTAAATATTCTTGATTTTCATATTTTATAAATATATTTCTTGATCAGTAAGTCTAAATTAAAAAAAAATCCTAAATACAAGTTTAACCATTTAACTTGGCACATATCAAGGACAAATCTAATATGGTGACTGAGTAATCTCTCCAGATTAATAAAACACTTTCTTGATTCAGTTGAGAATAATCTCATATCTACAGAGACATCTGTACCAACAAGGTGATTCTAATTCTTGTTGGTATTGATTTCAACTTGTATCTTTGCTAAACAAAATTGTTGGTCCAGTTCCGTAATGTTTTTTTTAACAAGGAATTTTTCTGTAGGCTATTTATCAATAGTAAGGAACACTGTCAAAATATAAATAATCGACACAGGAATAATTAATTAACAAATACAATAACAGGAACTTCAAATTAGGCAACTTCTGGTTTTAATGATTACTACATTTTGACCCAGAGTATAAGGTCATCATCAGATGAAAGTTACACTCTAGTACCTTTTTTGAATGTAAATTTTACCTCATGATGATCCAATGCTCTGGTTTATAATGTTGTAATCATTAAAATCAGAATTTGCCTACTTTTAAATTGCTGTTATTATATTTTTGAATTAATTATTCAGTTCAGTAGGTTCCTCACTAAACATCAACATAAGAATAATTTTGGGGTATTCTTTCTCTCTGGATTAAATAATCATTATACCTTAACACATTTAAGTATAAACAGTGATTAACTGAGTAAAAGAAGTTTGAAGTATTAACACGAAGATGCACATCAACACCAGCGTATAATAAAGTATAAAATTTATACACGTAACCCAAAACTGCAATCTCATAACCAACTATACATTCTTCATGCATAGTAGTTCTCAATTAAACCCATAATTTAAAATCCTTTTAAGAGGAGATCCATCATACAAATAATATAATGAATTACTTACCTTTCCATTATCATTATCTTAATCCAAGCAAGTTTAAATTCTTTCATAAAACATATTACAACCTAAAACCTACCAAAATATTATCTGACAAATCTTTATACATCTGGAGAGCCCATACATTTTATTTACCCTACTACTTTCGAACAATGACATCATTCAGTACATTTGTCTTTCAATGTTCTATACATGTATATCAGTATACACATCTAATAGTTTGTCTTTTCTCAGACTTGAAATCCTAAGTGAAACCTTTACTCTCAATTATATTTTTCAAATGATGCACTAAGCTGATTCATAATTGACTCAATATGTATTTCAACACTTATCAAGAAGATATCCAATTAAAGTGCAACACATTGCACCTATAATTATTTAAAAAATTGAAAAAAAAAACCCCATCCAAATCCAATGATATCTACTATTAAAAACATGTCCATGTAGGAACTGGTTCATACACAAACTGTTTCTTTCCTTTTCTGAAAGATAGACCGCCAAAAGAATGGTGTGTTCAATTTATTAACTTTATCAGAAACTTATATTACTACTCACCATTAATTTTCCAGTTTTAACAACACAGTTGCATAAATATTATTCAACATTTATACAGAGCTTGACAATGTTTTCCTTTACCTTAAAGGTGAATTGCTACATATTTCTCCACAATAAAACTGAAATGTTATACGACACAATGTCAAATCACTTTGTGAATGAACTAACAAAACTGTAATACAATTAATGTGATGTATTTCAAATGACTATTTTTCTTAAGACAAAGCAAGACTAGAATACTGGAGCACCTATATTTATAAGGCACCACAAAAGATCACCGCGATGTTAAATTTATTTGAAAAAAATACTTTGTTTATGAGCTGTAAGTAATACCAAATTTTGCATGTTTTAGCATTAAGGAAATTCTGTAGGAGTAACTAAAGACGTGTGTCTTCAGAGACAGCATTAACTTTGGGTTTAACAGGTGGTGGAGGTGGCTGTGGACGGGGGGGCTTGCTACGCACACTACTGGGAGAGGATGGAACTTTAATAGTACCCAGTCCTCCAACTTGGATTAATGCACAATATGGTTTTTCACCAGGTTGGTTAGTGGATGATTCAGTAACAGCCTGATTACTTCGAGGTGGGCGTTCTGGTGGTTGCTCTTGGTGACAGACACCAACACAGGTCTTAATGTCTTCTAAGTCACTGGAAGACTCACCACCTAAACCCCAGTCCTTATCGGTAGTGTCATGAGGTGGTGGAATGATGCGAGGAGGCCTTTCTGGTGGTTTTTCAACAGATTGTGAAGTCAGAAAATTCCATCTATCCTGTTTGGTTGTATGTCCTGGATCAAGAGTAGCAACTTGCTGTGGTTTTTCAATCACTTCAGTATCTTCACATGAATTCTTCTGTAACTGAATAAACTGTGAGTCTTCGTTTTGATATCCAACAACTTCACAATGTCCTATTATGTCAGCTACAGTATTATCATTAATTAATGATAATGAAGGTTCTGTATCAGTATGTGAAAATGAAAACTTCTGGTTAGTATTTTCAGAGTTCTCATCAACTTCGGGTAGTGAAAGTTTTCTTCCAGTTTCAGGTAATTCAACTGGCTTTGAAAGTTTGTCTGCTTTGGTTGGTCTTTCAGGTGGTGGGACGGATGGTCTATCAATTGAACTTGCAGAATTTTTTACAGGAATTCCAGGAGGAGGAACACTTGGTTTTTCTATGTGACTACTTAATTTTGAATGACGAGGGGCTAATGGTGGTCTCTCTACCTTTACTAATTTACTTTTACGATCTAGTGAATTAGTAGAATACAAGAGTAGCTTCTCAGTTTTTTCTGGTCTCTCAACTTTTTCAGTCTTTGTTACAGCTGATTTTTCAGAAACAATACCAGACAGGTTTTCATGTGACCGTCTTTGTATTATGGATAGACGCTCTGTTTTTCTTGGAGCTCCAGCAATGTTTCGAGGGAGAGTTGATGTCTGTCGATCATAACTTGAAAGCTTCTCGAAAGAACCAGGTTGTATACTATGAATGTTTGATTGCTTATCCTGGTTGTAAGATATTGATCTTTCTAAGTTATGCTTTTCTGACACTCTTGTCTTTTCCTTTTGCTGAATACCTGGGGCTGGAGGAGCAGGTTTTTTGCCTGGACGGTGGATTGGTTTTGGGCTATTAGCAACTGGACTTGTTGTCAAGCTGTAAAATAAGTACATTTTAGTATCAAAGTTAAGTTTAATAAGGGTATTCATCTTAATATCACTAACCCTATATGTGATTGACAAAATTCAAACCTCAGAACTGGACCTAGTATCTACCCTAACCCCTTCAGTGACAAATGTTATAGTTACTACTTAAGATTCAAGTCAATGCTATAAATATATCTGCTTGTAGAAGTCTACTGAATAATTATTGAAAACGTAATTCTTGTATTCAGTTTTTCCTGTTCTACCTGATGAGAGGGAAGAGGGTGACAGAATGATTTTAAAATACTCATTACGTTTGAATTATAAATTTGTTGTAAAATGTATTTTCAAATAATGATACCACATGCTAAATCTTCATGTCTAGAACTTTAATATTAATTAGATCTGCCATTTTCTTTCATTAAGAAAGTAATACGTAAAATCTATCAAATGAAGCAGCCAATGCTTGTCTACAATAGCATTTGAATTGGAATATAGTTATCCAGAACACAAGTGAATGTTAAAATAAATAGAAGATGCAATAAAAGAAGCCTGAAACTGTCTTTGAGGTTCTCTCAATATTCATGTGCAACTATGACAACCCCTAAGACTTTAAAAAATAATAGGTTCAAGGCTTGACAACAATATGATGACTTTGACTCCTGTATGACCTTAACTCTTGAATAACATCACTTTTAACATTGTTTTCGTGTTTACCAATAAAACTATTTTAACTCTCTCAACACAGGCACTGTCAATTTGACCGACCCCGTGACCTCTTTGTACTCGTTTCAAGTCTTTATAGATATAATACTTCTAACTTTCAGTATATTGTGTATATCTTCTCAAAATTGTCAGTCTTTCAATTACCATTATAAGTCTTACACATACAAAAGAATCATATTTTGTAATGAAGTATTTTTAAGAAACTAAAATAAAGGTTTGTCCATGAATATATTGAGTATGTTTTGAATAGTCCATGTGCAAAATAATTTTCATGTTATGATTAAAAATACTTCTTTTCATCTCAACAATCTCAAATTTCCTTTGTGTAATTCCTAAAACCTCCTAAATACATTTCAAACGTTTTTTTTTCAGTTAAACTTATTTTATCTGTTATTTTCTCTACCCTATTTCTATATGGAATTGGTCAATTTTACTGACCTCATAACCACCAAAAAGAAATCTAAGTTACCCTTTTTTCTTTTGGGAATGACTTCAAATTGTAACTACATTAATTTATACTAAGTAGATTTAAGTTCGTAACAGTATACACCTATTTATAATTAAGTTTTATTGTTTCATTGCCCTTTGAACCGTGTCTAACTAATATTGCACCAATACAAGTTGTAAATCACTCGGGGAACATGCAGCTCGCATTAAGCTATCAAATTACATTACTCACAAGCTACTTTGAGCTGCTCGCGTGCGTGCCTTGTGAAACATTTTTATTTATTTTACCTAATTTCATCTTAACTAATCTAAAAAGATCTCTACTTTTACATTTTAATTACTTTTATAATAAGAAATACAGAATAAAAATAAGAAATAAAGTATTTACCCAATCTTCTTTTTTCTTGCTGTCAATTGTCAATGACAGTTAACCTTACTTTTTTTTATATATATATATATTAATGGTAGTAATGCACTAAATAATTTTTATTTAATTAAATAATGCACCAAAGAACACAGAATAATAACATGCAAAAAGTACACCATTTCCCCTAACTCTCAAACTTTTTCTGGCTTTGTAACTATGCAAAAAAGAACCATTACAAATTTCTCCAAGCTAGTCATTAACATTCCCAGGGGAATGAATCTTGTATTCTGAGTGAAATTGATGATATTCTGTTCAGAATGCAAAGTTATAAATTACGTCACTTGGCAGATGAAAACTTTGAATTTCTATTGGTTATAGGTAATATGTAATTAAACGTAATAGAGAACTATTAATAAATCCTGCAAGAGAAGATGTGACAGGTGAGGTCTGATTTTCTAGTTGATAGCTCTGTAACCAAACAAAATTGAAGGCTATAAAAATTACCGTTTGTCTGAGCAATGACAATTTTATAGGGAGTAATTTACGTTTAATTTTATACTTTTTGAAGGACTGATGGATAAAATAGAGAAGATAATATACCTAAAGAAAATGTGTCACGTGTGTCAACACTAGGGGAAATTCAGGATTTTTTTAAATATTGCTTTATAGAATTAAGAATTTAAAATTTATATACTGTTAAAATATGGATTATTAGCTAAGATTTCATGCTATACTAATTGGTATAACATAAACAAAAAGTAGTTTAATAAAATTTTGAATGTAAGACACTAAAACTGTGTCCTGTGCAGTAAAAGATACCTGTGGCAATAGGGTTAATTTGGTGAGTTTTCACCATTACAATATCTTCTATTTTGCATTTTGTAATTTCCTCACCCATGAAATTCTTTTAATACTAGGACCTAAGATTTGTCAGCTGAGTTGACTTGAAAATGTTTGACAAAATTATTTTAAATACTAAAAAATGTGCAATTATGTAATACTTGCAAGACTTGTTTCCTGAAAACTTAAGAAAAGAAGCAATAAAATTGTCTTTATATCTGTATCATAATCATTCACCTCTGTAAGTTGAGAAACTCTGATCTTTAAAAAGGCCAAACTTTTACGACAAATATTCAAAAGACCAAACAGTTCATTGTCTGACCTTATTTCAATGGACAACTAAAACCCAGAGAATACAGTTGTATCAATTTCAGATAACTCCAAAAATGTTTACAACTTCACACACATAGATTATATATTTTTTGTATTATATTTTATTCAATATTTTGTTTCAGCCATTTTTGTTAATTAACAAGCAGATGTACAGACCTCTTTGGACATCAACAATCATGTTACTGCTCACTTCAATGTTTATTACTTACCTATCATGACTTGAAAATGTTTGACAAAATTCTTTTAAACACTAAAAGAATGTGCAATTACATAAGATGCTCATACAGCCATTTAAAACAATCTTCAATGTATAATTCAACAAAATTTAGGTTTGTGTGTGGGTGGGTTGGAGGGTACCTTTTCCATTTGTACCACTATTCATAGGCAATTTGTACAAATCTTGGTAATAAACAACAGTCACACTAAAAAACATCAAACCTTAAAGGATTAGGAAAATGTGACAGAGTGATTTCACTTTGAAACGTGTAGTTATCTATTATCTAAGAATCATTCCTACAATTTTTGGTTTGTAAATTAAGTATGTGCCTATTTAAATATCAGTAAGTTCAAAGCAATGGAAAGCTCAAACTACCCCTTTATATTTGTGCATATTCTTTTACAATGACCCTTTCTATAAACTTTGATGAACTTACAATGAAAGCTATAGAAGGAAGAGTCTACCCAGTAAACATCGCTTTAGCACTCAGTAAATAAAAGGAAAATTTGGTAGAATGAGCAACTGAGTTTCTCCACAAGAAATATTTCATAAAACAGAAGAAAATGTGGGTATAATTTTAGTTCATTTTCTATAAGTATAGTAATTTGAATATACCAAACATTTGGTCATTTACAGATAAAAAATCAGTACACAGGAAATCCCAAGGTTCTAAAGTGTTTCTCCAAAAATTAGACATTCCTGTTTTACCTAACTGAAGATGGTCAAGCAGAGACTGTTTAAAGTACAGATTGAAGTCACTTGAAGATGATGTCTAAAATGTTAATGTCAAGCCATGTTTAAAATAAGACTTAAAACCATACTGATAAGCAAGTTCTACCTTTCAAAATTCCACTCCTTACCAATGATTTCCAACACGAGAAGAAAACAACAAAGAAATGTCCCACTAGTAAACTGTGCAACAATCACTACTATAAAACCTGTGTTGTCAGCATTAAAAAAAAGTGTGGTAAATAAACCTACGAATAGCCACCTTTCATTAGCAATGAAATAAGTAAAAGATAGTTGGTGATCATTCCAAGTACAAGAAACAACAGCAAACACTTAACACAGGTTATGGTGTGTATGCCTTTTACAAAGTGGTGACAAATGATTACAATTATATTTGTCATAAGACATTACTATAAGGACTATTACATTTTTAAACATTACATTATTAATCTAGTTCCTTGGGAATGTAGGGTTTAAAAATGCAATAGGCCTAATACTAATGTCTTATGACAAATATAATTGTAATCATTCTTCACCGACTTGTAAAAGACGTGCACACCATAAGATTGTTCTTGTAAGAAATAGCTTACATAAACAGTGTTTTAAACCAATGCTGTGTTTGTTGTATCCCAGCTGGCCTGAAGGGCTCTGGATTGAGCAAAACACATCATTAGCAATGGGTATGACAAATATAGTGTGTTTGGAATACTATTATTGTACACTTTTCTAATTCTTGAAAATCCCTAAGAGACTAGATTAAGAATGTAGTTTTTAAAAATGTAATAGACCTAATACTAATGTCTTATGACAAGTATAATGATAAAAAAAATACTTGGCATGATAAAAAAAAATCAAAATCATAAAATGTCTCCTGGAATTAGCATCACTCTGAAAAATAACATAGGTTTCGAGTAAAGATAAAACAAATTTTGGACATACAATAAAGGACTAGTGGCATACAGTGTTCCTTTTAATACTACAGTAATGAACATTACTGATGGTCAAAGCAAGATAATGTAAAGGGATGATAACTAGCAGAGATAGCTAAAACAATTTACGTTTTCTGGTGTTTTTAGTCTACAAATTGATTTAGATGTAAAATTTTCTTTCTTTTTTACAGTGCTACTACTTCAAATTATGGAATTTAATGAACTTGCTTGATAATACTGTTCAAAAACTGAAAGGAGAAAAATACACATTTAATAAAGCATCTAGTTCACCTTTATTTTAGATTCCGTGAAAAAATAATATAAAAAATTCATGAACAATTTAGAATAAAGTCTAACAGAGAGAAAGAAAGACACAGATTCTGACCTGTTATTTGATAGATAACTTCAAATTAAATTAAGCAATTATAACCTTCAAATGTTTTAAAATTTGTCGTTATTATTTCATCTCCACCTTACAGAATTATATCCTTTCAACTAACTTGTTTATAATAACCACAACTTAAGATTAAGTTAATAAATCTTTAGATTTTATGGTTTTTTGAAACAACACAATGTTGTAATAGATAAAAGTATTATGTAATTTAGTGCCTTTACACTACTACATTTACAATGCCATATTTGTTTTTTAAGAACCAGGTAAATAACTACAACATCTAAGAGATTAGACCTATACCTGTCAGGTGGACTTCCACCTTGATCTGGATCTGACTCTTCTTCATTATGAGTTGGGCACTCTGGTTGACAGGCTGTTGCTAGGTTTTTACCTGGATTTATTGAAACTGGTGGAGACGTAATACAAAAATTTGTCTCTGGAAAAGATATATTTAATAAATTAATGTGAGAATCACATATTTCTGTCAAGTATAAAGTAAACAAAGAATCAGTATGTGTTTATCCTTTTTTATACCACATTTCAGCACATACAACTTTTCAGAGAGGCCATAATACTGAAAATCCTAGATTTCAACATTTTAAAAGCAACCTCTTTTTTACTTCCTTATTAGATCACGTTCAAAACATAATTGCAACAGATGTTATTTTATTATTTCCAAAAACAAAATATCCTAAAAATCATAGTGTTTCAAATACCTCCAGGAAAGAACCAATCAGCATAGGTCACTAGAGAGTCAACAATGATGCTGTGAATGTTGGCAACAGACATGTTCATACTGAAAAATACAAAATGATTCCAGAACAGTCATCAGAAACTTGGTGACAGAAATATAAAGATGAACTTTTTTATAAAGTGTTTGTATTGAAACTGCATAACTACTTCATGCTGGGTAAAGTATGAGAGGTGGTCTGTACCAGAACTGCATTATGATTTAAATATTCATAGTTAAGTTCAAAAAAGATTGAGTCTTTTAAACATGATAGAAATTCAAAATTAGCATTAAACTGTACAATTACATAAAAGTTATAACTGGGAATACTTCTAAATAGGCTAAAACTAAGGTTTAATATAATAGCATAAAGTTTCTTTTTCGATATCCAGGATAAAAATTGAACTTTAGGATCCAAACTAGATACTTCTGTAGACTATAAAAAGAGGGTTATGTTTAGAAATAAAATTATTATTTTATGCAAGATAAAATTCAGGATTAAAGTAAATTTGGATAATTTTGGTTGATTCTATCATACAAAATAATACTTAAGTTTTGAATCAAAACTATGAAGTAGGATAAGAAAAAGGTGAGCTTTAAGCAAGTGTTTTTGTCTTAATTATGAATTATTCATTTATACTGTTTTTTTGTAAAAAGTAAAACTAATGCTTATTATCAAAACTGGAGTATTCTTTCATTCAATATAAATCCATGGGTTTAGAGTCAAAAGTATATAGATTATTTTACAGAAGTAACTAATATCATGTACACAATATACAATTGTACACAGTAAAATTGTGGATGTACTGGTCAGAATTAGAACTTTTTCTTTTATTTTTCTGGCATAATCATAATGCCTTACCTATGACAGATTTTTATGGTTATAGTCTGTATCATACTACAACTTAATTGTTACCACTGGTAGTGTTATAATAAAAAGAAAGGTACTTACCCAAACTGCATGGAATCCTGATCAGGTCCCCAGATAAGATTAGGAGCAAAGACTATGGCTATATTTTGTGGTGACATTTTGTTTACCTCAGCATATGTAGCTAACTTTGCAAGAAACTTGATGATGTACCTACAGATTTTAATTTCAATCAGTAAAATTTTATCAACTGTGCATTCAGTTAACCAATCATTAGGCATTACATAGCATATGTAATACCTAATGAAGTATTAGGTAACTGAAATAATCTCAATGAAAAACACAAACATAATCATGAAAACCTGGTGTCAGAATCTATTGTCACAAATAAGAAAATTCAGAATATACTGAGGGTCTGATGAACTATTAAAAATGATGCTGTCAAAGATGTTTCTTTCAAAAAAAGTTTAGTTAAATTAAATTCTTAATGATAGGTGAATTTTTTCTTAGAAAAATGCATTGCTCAAAATAACTAGAATTTTTTTATATTCTAGTTGTACTAAGGCACAATTACTGTTATAAATAATGCATTGGTAACCCCATACTTATTTTTATGCAAAACAAATGTAAGGGAGACTATTATGTAATCTGTCATACATTTAAATTTCATAGAAAAGTAAAGAAATCACAGCTTGAATGGTAGTAGAACACACAGATATTCAGAATGCCAGTGAAACATGCCAAGAACCCAACAAGTACATCTGGATGTTTCCACAATGTTGTGAGTAATAGGTTAGCAAGAAACTGGCCATACACAACAATTCACTGCAGAATGGCTACAAGTCTCACAATTTTATGTGAATTTGCTTTCAGACCACTATCACATTTGGCTGGAGACCTGAACAGGATGGACGACTATCAAAAACCCTGCAAAGTGACTGCTACTTGACAATATGGGCTCGAAGTAACTGAACCTCAGTATCCCAACTGAATCAACAGTTCAGAGCAGCAAAAGGTCAATAAATCAACATGCAGATAGTCACAGATTTCATAATAATTGATCTTTGTGTCAGATGACCAATGACACAATTCCAGTTCCTCATTGTCACAAAACATCCTAATTCAGTTGTGTCAAGAACATATGAAGTGGTCAAAGGACATGTGGAAAAGGCCTTGAATCACGCTGCAGCCAGACAGAAAGTGTATACATATTTGGAGAGTTCCCAAAGACAGATCCAATCCAAATTTCATGGAAGAAGGATATGCCTATGTCAGAAGTGACATATTGTTTGGGCAGAGATTAATATTAATACTATTATGGAAAATAACACACACCAGAGTACTCAACTGTTTAGCAACTTCCTGGAAGAAGAGGGTTCCAAGCAAATGGACTGATCAGAAAGTTCACCAGACTTGAATCACGTATGATATGTTCTACGAAGACACTTAGCAGCATGCGACTCTCCTCCAAGTAGTGTTGGTGAACTGGAAGAAACTCTGATGGAGGAGTGAGCCAGAAGCTCATCAACTCATTTATGTGATGTTGTCATAGCAAAAAGTAGGAAAACTTTTGATTATTCCCAAGTAATTTGAGCAGTGTAGTTGCTTCAACTTGGGAGTTTCATAGAAAGCTAAAAAGTTTTGCACAAAGTCAAGCCATGAAAACACTATGCCACATTAGCAAAAGAAAAGTTCATTTAAATTGAACTTGCATTAAGCCTATTTGGCAGCAGCTAATATGCTGCCATACTTCTATGACTCAACTTCAGGGGAAAACTTCTAATTATAGTTTCAAGTAAATATTGTGTCACAAATATGCCAAGGATACTTAGCAGTAATATAATTATATGAATATAAAATAAAATGTTTTATATCAATAGCATGATGGCTATGAAAAAATATGGAAGATTTAGTCATTCATTCGAATTTCAACTAACTGATGGATCAACACTTACCATAACTTAGCATTGTCACTAATGAATACTGAATGCAGACAGAATTATCAGCCTTAAACTTATATTAACAGTAAGGTATGCCTAGAAATGTGGATTGAGTATACTTTGTTTTGGCTACTAAGCACTCTGTTATTTTCCTTCAAGAATAGAAAGTAATCTAGTAATTGTGTGATGTTGATTTTGATATTCGGCAGCTGTTACAGCACTTTTTATAGTAATTATTCATATAAATTCATCACAAATTATCAAATTAGTTTCAGAAACATATCGTGAAACTTGTATACATTTACAATTAGTTTCAGGTGGATACTGTGGAACTCGTGTAAATTTACAATTAGTTTCAGGTGGATACTGTGGAACTCGTGTAAATTTACAATTAGTTTCAGGTGGATACTGTGGAACTCGTGTAAATTTACAATTAGTTTCAGGTGGATACTGTGGAACTCGTGTAAATTTACAACTAGTTTCAGGTGACTACTATGGAACTAGTGTGTAATACTACATTCTGTTTTAAGTAGCAACACTGGATACAGTATATACTAAAAAACTTACCTCAGATTGTTTCGGTTGGCTTCAGGAAGCTGGTGTAGTACCTGCCATAGTGCTTGCAGCCTTGCCTCTGGGTCAACTGTTCTGTTTAAAAGGAAATTAAAAAGTTAGTCTGTAATAACAAACCTTGATATATAAGGATACTTGCATAACTGTTAGGAAAGTAAATAAAAAAAATCATGAAAAACTGTGTGTGTGTGTGTATATGTACAAGATATTTTTAAATCAGTAAAAATGCAAGCTTTGGTTTTATTGAAATTAGCCAGTAGTAATTTCTTTACTAACTAATCAATACCCTGGTCAGTAAGTTCATAATAACGTAGAATTCACTAAATATATTTTGTTCACAATCAAAGTTATCTAAAACTATTTCACTAGGTCTGTACTAAAACATTCATGTACAACTCTTTCATGAAAATGACAAACAATTATAATATAGAGGATGCAATTAATTAATTATGAATTCACCTATTAATCATCAGATATGGACCTAAATATTATGATTTTCTATTAACATTAACAAACACACAACAGCCTAAAAACTGAGAAACATGTTCATGGTTTGTGTTCCAAACATAGTAAGTTTAATATTGATTATTATATTCACCTTTTAGTTTATAACTTAAATAAAGAATAATGTAACAGACTTTCACTAGCTTTACTGGAAGAATAGCTGCTTCCTAATGAATCTGGAAATTTTGAAATTAGTGTTAACATGAAACAAGAAAGTTCTAGAATTTTTAAAAATCCAGAATACTAAAACTAAATTAAAAATGGGTGGTTGAAGGAAGAGTAAGAAACAGAATTTTCATTAAAGTTGTCGCTGTGTACATCAAAGGAGATGCGGTAGCATAAATGCAGTTTTAACAACAGAATAATTCCATTTATTATATACAAAACACTTATAAGGGCTTACTTTGCTGCATTCATCCATTCATCATAGAGGTCAAATGTCAAGAGAGGTTCTGGTAGTTCACGTAGGTATGATTTGAGAGCTCCTAATTCAAAAGTGCATTAGACAGAATATATCACAAGATACTTTCAATAGCTATACAGGCTCATATCATGCAAACACTACATTTCTAATACCTCAAATAGCAAGTAGGCTATAATTTATCAGGTTTCTTAAAGTGATTTAACTAGTGTTTATTTTATTATTAAAATAATTGATACAACAATTTCGTTTATGCAAAATAATTTGTTTATTTTTATAAAGGAACTTATCCTTACTTCATGCTACATGTTTTGATTGATTAAAAAGTTTTCTAGAATTTTCATATTTCATATTAACAATAATTACTGTGCATAACCAAAAATCACTCCATCAATTATTTTAATAACACATGTGAGAGAAAAATACCAATATTAATTATCCTAGATAGTTTCTAAGTACCTCAATCTTATGTGCATGGGTAAGGGGTCAAAGTACACATGCCATGACCTTTTACAGAGTGCCATTCAACATGGTATTATGTATGTGATGTCAGAGTTGTCACCTATTCATCTGACCCTACATTACTGATTTACTGACTGTTCATCTTAGAAGAGAGTAAATATTAGATACAATATACAGGGACTGAAAAAAACTGGAACTATGTATTTTTAGATATGCAAGCTGTAAGATGGACAAAAGTAGTTTTATTCTTAACCTTGCAGTCCAACTTGTAAGATGGACAAAAGTAGTTTTATTCTTAACCTTGCAGTCCAACTTGTAAGAGTCTGAGTAAGACTAACATCAACAATTCACACACACATCTTGAGTATAAATACTTTTGTAACACACCCGATTAGAAGAGAGTAAATATTAGATATAATATGCAGGGATTGAAAAAATTGGAACTATGTATTTCGTAGATATGCAAGCTGTACGATGGACAAAAGTAGTTTTATTCTTCACCTTGCAGTCCAACTTGTAAGAGTCTCAGTAAGACTAACATCAACAATTCACACACACATCTTGAGTATAAATACTTTTGTAAAACACCCGAGTTTCTGTGTACAACAGACTTTTACATCATAGTAAAAAACTTCCACATTTCATGGAGATACACACAGTAAATTCAGAATTACTGACAGCATTTTTTCTCTAACATGGAGTCAGTCCAATGGACCAACCTTATGCACACTTGACTGAATAAAAGTGAAATATGGTATACATTTACTGACAGACAGATTTAATAGTGGAGAAATGATTAATTGCAACACTTGGTTACACAAACAAAATGATTCCAATTGTAGTTTTTAATATTTTCATCAAAATGACAACTTTCAATACATCTTTTAAATGCGTTTTTTTGAATGATTTTATTTCTAACATCTGTAAGTGTAACACCGATTTAGAGGATACCTATGGCTTAGTGACACAGAACTTTATTGGTATATAATTTCCACAATCATGATTAAGTTTTTAACACTACCTTAGTCATCTCAGATTTCCTAAGAACATTGTACTGTACAAAAATGTATAGGTTTATGAATTAAAAATAAATAATATAAACATGAAACTGCCATGTTTTGTACCTATTAAATATCTGAATGTACAATGTCAGGGCACTAATGAAAGATATGCAAGAATTCAGTTTAATGTGATACTTTCAGCTTGTTATAAAAATAACAATGGTTACTCCTCAGCTCACTAGGATTCAAAGACCCATTTTTAATGGGTAATATTTTGAAGAATTACTGACCTGAAAAAATAACTTAAGTTTTAATTTTCACATTTTAGTTTCTTTTGTCAAAAAATATATAGAAATATATACATAAAAACAAGAAATCTATTACTTACCATTGCTTATAGGTGTATATGTACTCCAAAATGTATTTTGTGAGACTACTTTTTATTTTTCACTCTATGTTGGTTGTCCAAAAAATAATTCATGTAGCTTTCAAACATGCATTTGAAAACACAAACAATAGTTCAAACAGAATGCCCCCAAACTACTATTATTAATCTGGCTTTCTAGCTAGCCCATAAATAGATTAAAAAGCACTGACTTCAGTCTACAACCAATAAAATCTGTTTGAGAAATGACACCTTTTACCAAAGTAAATTAACATAAGTTATTATAATCACACAGTTCATAAAACAGCCTTTCTATTGGTTATAAACATATACTACTGACAAGCAAGCATGAGGAGATAAGTGATTTCAAAAACATGAAGAGTTGAGAGGTACTTCAGTGGTGGGTGTAACAAATTTATTGGTATGTCAGAAAATAAAGAAGGTGGGAGGGTTCCTTATCTAAAATTCTGGCCTGTCAATTGTTTGTTTTGAATTTCGCACAAAGCTACAAAAGGGCTATCTGTGCTAGCCGTCCCTAATTTAGCAGTGTAAGACTAGAGAGAAGGCAGCTAGTCATCACCACCTGGCCATGCTGGGCTAGGCCTGTCAGTATCTAAGGTTGGTGTATCTGACCGTTGGATATTCTGAAACCTATGCAATGGAAGAAAGAAAATCTAAAAAGGAGAATTCAGAGCAAAGAGGTATGTGACACAGAAAAGCAAATGTTGAGAACTTATTTAAATATTTTCTTTTGAAGTTAAGAAATTAAAATTTACATTACATTAAAATTTGAGTTATAAACTATGTTTGATTCAACATTCATTTAAGTATGTTGATAACAAATTTTGAATGTAACTCTGTAAAGAGGCTGTGACACATGCACTTTGATGCCCCACCATGCATGTAAGGGTTAAATGACAAGAAATTAAAGAGTTTCTTAAAATCTAAAGTAGATCAACTCTCCAACTGAAATACATACTTATACTTATCAAGTAGAATCTTATGTTATCAAGACACTTGGGTTAACGTAAACAGACAATGACAAACTAAACTCATCTGGTGGTTAAGATAAGAAACATTTTTGCTCAATTTATACTGGTGAAGACCTCAGGGCAGCACATAAACCTCTATGGTGGATATTTGCAGTGTTTTTGAAATACCTCATTCACTCATGAAGCTATTTCAATAAAAGTTGGGAAATCGTATACAAATACTCTTGAAATCCATTAATAAAGAAATGGAAAAAATTTTAGTTTCAATTTAACTTCTTGGTTAAAAAGCAGCAATTTACTTTCCTATTAACAAGTTTATGTTAACTAGCATAGATCTAACCCAGAATGCTTACTTGTTTTTACATAGTGTGGAAAAAGCCTTATCGAAAATAAAGTATTAATACAAATCAAAAACAATAGTATAATAATACATTCATATTCATATTTTTTTTTTGATGACCATAAAATTTAATATACAACTTTACACAAACCATGTAAGTACTTTATCATAGCTCTAAGATAGTTAAAACAATCTTGTTAATAGCATTCAATTTTGGTTCTTACAGAAAAAAAGATTTCTATTTCAAATGAAATTCATTGCTTATTAATTGTTTGATTTCCAAAATAGCTGATCAAAAGAAAGTTTAGCTTTTATTCTGTCAGTGTACTCATCCTCGTAAAGATGTCTTCATAAATGAAAATTCCAAAAACATTTGTTTATCCAACATTTATCATTCCAGTCTGAACCTTATAATCTTTAGAAAAATAAAAATTAACATAGTACCTGCCACAGTGTGGGGATCTCGGGCATACTCTGTTAGATCAAATGCAATAAGAGCATCAAAAGAATTCTGCAATTAAAAAAAAACAACACTTCAATTCTATAAGGTCGATATTATGGATGGATGTGTACGTTTGTGTGTATACATATGCTTACATACGTATATCAAGTTCTTTCTTTAATGTGCTGAAAAAAAAACACATAAGTTACCTTAATTGTATAATCATAGGCAAATTTAGTTTATCTGATAAAATGTTCAAAGCTAATTATTTTTAACAGTAAAGAAAATGTCTTACTTAATATCATAAACACACACATCAAATAATATATGACCACAATGCAACATTACTATATATATATGTATATATATATAACACAAGTTCTACTCAGCTGCTACCCAAATGCTGATTTTATATTAATAGTATCATGTCAACAAATCTCGAGGAGGAGTATGGTAGAAACTAAACACCACAATAAAGTTAAAATCTAATCTCAAATGATTTCAGTCACTGCAATTATTTTATTTTATTAGAATGTATTCCTGTGTTACTTCACAATTACGTAAAAGTATCTTCTTGTAATTTCTTTTTCAAAACAAAAGTCCTAATTAAAGATTTGTATTTGTGAAGTTACATTATAAGATTATTTGTTTTTTTTATCTTAGCACAAAGTTACCTAATAGGCTATCTGCACTCTGTCCACCATGGGGAATCAAACCCCAAATCTTAGAGTTGTAAAGCTATAAACTTACTGATGATCCAGTTTGGAGACTACACGATAAGATGACACATTACCATTTGAGTTATCTACCTTGTCAAAATTGTGCTACTTAAAAATACTTACTTTCAATTTTTTCACTTTGGATGCACTTCCAGCTATTCTGAAAAGGCCCTGAAAAGTAGAAACACGAGCTTCACTGTAGCTATTCACAACCTCATTAGCCCAAAGAAAAGAAAAAAATATTTTAAATGCTATGTGTAAACCTATAATAAGTAGTTTTAGGATATGCATTCCTTATATCAATCAATGTTTTATGTATATCTCCTTCTTATCTACATGGTTTTTCAAAACAACATGGTGGGCTACTTCACAAGTCTGTTTCTGGTTCTGAACAGACCCTGACTCCAAGTACAGAAAAGGTAACTAGAACAAACAGTGTTATTATTGTTCTGTTGAATATTGGATTAGCTTTAACCCACACACACAGTGATACAAAATCTATGCTCATTGAATACAACTAATGAGCATTATTATATTCCAATCTCTAAAATATATTTGTTCACAACCCCAAAAACCAAAACTATTTATATCTATGTAATACAATATGTTATTTGTATAGCATGAACAGATTGTCCAAGAACATAAAAACAGCAATAATGAGATAATTTTGATAAATAAATTTTAAAATTGTTATTCTGAAATAAAAGTATATGTATAATGAAACATTACACACACACACACACACATACATACATACACATTTTGTTTGTAAGTTTTAACAATCAGTACCAATACAATTAAATATAATATGATTAAAAAGTCAACCTCTGAGATTATTATTTTTAAATTAATTTGTAATCAAGTTAAATGGAACAACCACTAAATGCACAGTCCTAATGCTGTTAGTGATGGCAGTAATTCTTATGTAAAGGCAGTTGATTTACATTGGTGTTTTTGACCTGGGATTGATTTTGTAGCTTACAATCAGATGTAAAGTTTTAACTCATGCTTAGAAAAAATTCATACCCATTTTACACTAAGAAAGATTTTGAAACTCTTATTAAAGATTGAACCTATCTGTAGAAGAAAAAATTAATTTCAGCATAAATGGAATAATCAGGGTTAAATGCACTTCATAAGAGTTATTTCCAATGCCATGTCACCACCACAGATGCAAGATGCAGAGTCACTGGCAACATCATTGGCACCTATGGTTTAAGGTGAATTCCTGACCATCTAGAAATGGAATGATGCTAGAGGGACAGACATCAGGACAAATATATGTCACACTTCTTTCCATAAAAATATATTTTCATATTTAAATAGTAAAGAGATACAAGGCATGGGAAATCCCAACTTAAAAAATGACATCTATAACATGGTGAATAGCATAAGGAAAGGAATTATCAGCAAATCTATATGAGGGCATAAAACCATTGAAACAGCATCCCACTATACAAAAAACTACCAGTACCAACGTTTGAAAACTGGTAGTCAAGAGCCCTAAACAAACCAGAAAGAGACTGCTTAAGTTTTAGGTATCTCAACCACCTGTGTACAAGATATATGAATGACTATAACAAAAAACAGAAAACTTGCTATTGATCACAAGGTGACATGGACTTCGTAACATAGTACAGTGTGAGTATAAAAACATTTTTCATTGGCTTTCGCGGGAGTGCGGGTTTCTCATGTAATTAGAAACTTAATCTGTTTCCTATCGGGAGAATATACCGACACCAGTCATATAAAATGTAATCCCTGCACTATATGGTCAGGAAAACATTTCAAATGAATCACCTATGCCCAGTGATACATTTCTACAAACAAATAAGACTGAAACCAGTGTTCACGTTATCCCCTTCTCCAACCTTCCTGTGAAGTCACCTGATTGTACATGACCTGATGTATCTAAAGTGTAGTTTCTGTTAAGTTTTAAAAATGTGTTTAGCCTTTGGTAAAATATTTCATGTTATGGAAATTTAGAGGATATATTTTCTTTGTCCCTTAAAGAATACAAGTTTTCAAACAATGATAATATTTCTACAAACTTTTTCTCAGAAATAAACAGTAAGATAGTATTTTCAAGTCACAGATGACAGAAATCACTAATAAATAAAAGAAAAATAAATAAATTGTGTGCATAACTTTTCTTAACTTACTACTGTTACTTCATATTTTGACATTATTTATGGCTTGTAAATATACAATATAAATATAACTCAGATACTTTATTTTCTGCACAAAAACATGGGGCTTACCTCTTCATTCATTCCATTCTCTAACAAACAACAAATACACATTTCTATCACTGATGCTATTTGTCTACCCGTGACTCGAAGATGTTCAGATAATTGTGTCCCATAAACTGGTTTATGGTTGAAATCTTCTGTAAGAATATGAAAATATAAATGAAAAATGTAACTGTGCTTTAGTTACACATAACTAAAAATTTAGAAAAATTTGTATTTCATTCCTAAGAAAAATTAGCATTTCAAACCTGCAACTTAAAGATATTATTCAAATTAATAAACATTTTAAAACAAAGAAGTTAAATATTATATACTTATTATAACTGAAAATAAATGCATTATTTATTTGCTTTTCACAATTATTTTTAGTATGAAATATGCATAGAATTTTACATATTGTTAAAAAGTGTTAAATATTTATGTCTTTCTTCAGAAAATTTATTTCTTTAACTGACTGTATAAACAGGGTATAGAATATACATTTGTATATTTTAATACAAGTGTTTGACTATTAGTTTTAAATGTTTCAGTTTTAAGGTAAACAAGGTATTTTCAAAATGTGAGTGCTGACATGAAATAAATCTATATCAAATATTTCACACAAAATATTTTTTTTATCTAACTTCTCATGACCAAGATCTATCCATTTGGTATTGTTCTCTTTCAAACTTAAAGATCATTCAAAAGATACTCAACCCCATTGTGAAACTTATTTCCACAACATAAAACTTCTAATAATTTCAATCTAACTTCTGCTACAATCTCACCCTTTAACTTATACCAATCAATAATTTAAAACAAATCTTACCATCCTTTTCCTCCCTGAACAATCATAATATTTTCAAAATTTGAAATGTTTTGTAAAAAAAAAAAAAAAAAAAAAGGCTGGCATATTGCAAGAAGGTAGCTATTAGTTTTGTAAAGAACACAACATGATATACAATCTACAGAAAAAATCAAAATGCTGTTTTATATTTAACTTTTTTTCTTTATTAAATAAAACTTACAACACTTCTAACTTAAGAAACTGCAAAACGGAGATATCAATAGACTAAAGTTCACAAACGTTGTACCAAAATTTATGGTTACAATAATAACAATATATGTACATCAGTAACTTTCAAACTTCTGTTAATACTCTATAGTTTGTACACGAACCTTTCTTCACTAAAATAAATGGTAATGCTAAACAAGATCTTACGAATATCGCTTTCCAACAATGGAATCCACTCTTCCAAAATATGTAGAGCTTTTCTATGACAATCTGCTTGATACTTGTACCAGTCCACAAATAACTGGGCAAATTCAGGTTCTCTTTTAAAAAGTGCATACATTTCTGCAGCCAAGGTATCCTATTAAGTATATGTAATAAAAACCTTGATTTAACCCCTTCAGTGCAGATTTTGTTTTCTTAATACAGAAAAGATGCACGTATGTATAAATCACCTAAGATACACAAGGAATAATTTTCGCATTTTTCGAAATTTTTTGATTTTAGTTTCCAAGCAGCTATTTATGGAAATATATATATATTCTGAGGTGAAAGTAGTGCAAAAACATCCTGTAATCAAAGTTTTATTTGTCCAATTCTGAAAAGATGTTAACTGCTCTTACAAGATACTACTAATTCATACAAAAACTGACATGTTCAAAATATATTTATGTACAAAGATAACTCAACAGTTCTGAAAGGGTTAAACAGATAGTAAGAATTTTTTTTTCTGTCTTTTGTCATTTTTTCACAGAAAATCTGCAAATTATAATACTAATTTGAAAATACAAGTTTAAAAGTATGATAATTAATTTTATATTTTTAACATCCAGTCAGTCTGCAAGTCAATGAGATCATATTCTGGAGAAAGGGTGGGCTACAAATTGGGGAAGGGGGGGGGGGGTCAAGGCTTCCAGTATTATAATTAGAACAAAAAAAAAGTACTCTGATAAAGTGTTCAATCTATTAGCCTCACAAAACCACACTTAAGTGCCAAAACAACTCACTCTCAATAGTGTCTGGCCACAAAGATGTGGAATTTAATAAGATTGGCCAGACCGTGTCTTGCTTGCACAAAATAATAGAAGTGTTCAAGTTCAAGCAGATACTTCACTTAGACACCTTACAGTGGAAAGTAAGCTTTGTTAAGCCTTCCTTGGCCATTTTTGTTAACAGAACTTTCAAAGACCACGGAGAACAGCTTTACAGAGCTCAGGGAACAAATCTTGTATTTCACAACATGTGTGGCTACTGCAATGTTTTGTGTGGGAATCTAGTGAATTTGGCAATCCTGGTGGGCAATTCAAATTCCAGATATTGCAAGAAGTTCAAATTTCTATTCAGAACTTAGAAGTTTCCATGAAGTTTTATTTGGGAATTAACCCACCAGACATGTCTCCCTGACAAGTAGACCAAGTGTTAAAGTAAAGTATATATATTAGGAAAAAACTTTTTTTGCTTTACATAACTCCTGCTTGTAATTTGAACTACTAGCATCTTACATTGGACTTCATAATGGCTTGAATGTCAATGGGGGCCTTTTTGAAACAGAGGTACATAAGTTCTAAAAATTTACAGACACAATTTTTATAAAAAATATACTGTGATAACCTCCTTTAATATTGTATTTACAGTTCGAAAAAGGTTTTCAATTTTCAATACAATTTTGAAAATGTCACAAAATATTTGAAATGTAAAAAATAAAAACTGCCAACAGTCATGTTTCTTATGTTAAAATACAGATATAATCTTTGTATTTTCAGAGATGATGATTGATGATCAATGCAAAAAGTAAATAGTGATTTATTCTATCAATAATAATTTTTATCCTCCTAGTAAAGTATTTATATTAGGAAAAAACTTTTTTGCTTTACATAACTCCTGCTTGTAATTTGAACTACTAGTATCTTACATTGGACTTCGTAATGGCTTGAATGTCAATGAGGGCCTTTTTGAAACAAATGTACACAAGTTTCAAAAATTTACAGACACAGTTTTTATAAAAAAATATACTGTGATAACCTCCTTTGATATTGTATTTACAGTTCGAAAAAGGTTTTCAATTTTTAATACAATTTTGAAAATGTCACAAAATATTTGAAATGTAAAATACTAAAAACTGACAACAGTCATTTTTCTTATGTTAAAATACAGATATAACCTTTGTATTTTCAGAGATGATGATTGATGATCAATGCAAAAAGTAAATAGTGATTTCTTCTATCAATAATAATTTTTATCCTCCTAGTCTTGCATGTTTTCATCAGTGTTTTGTATGATAATAACATAAACCCAGGACACAAGATTTAAATAAGTATGGTCTAAGTGGTGTTTACTTCAAAGCACCATCATTCACACCACTTGACATCTATTACCTTTTGCATTTCTGGATTATGAGCATTGATGATGAGTATATCACATACTTTCAATTATATTTAATTCGTAATAATTTTCTTTAATGTAAGAAAGTAACCTTGCACTGTTCAACTTTCAATGAAGCATCTTCCAGTTCTTCTTTTAATACATCTGCTTTAGCTGCTGAATTGTGTAATGCTCCTCCCGTTTGTTGGTGACTGTGTCGAACAGCAGTCTGATACCTGACAATGATGCAATGAAACAAATCAATGTAAAGTCTTCCAAGTTTCATAAGTATCAGAAAATGACAGATGAAAATAACTTCTAGTCATTTAAAAATTAGGAAAACTGGATGAAAACCTCAGTACTTCTAAATGGTCTCAAAGAGCTAAAGTGAACATTTTTTATTGAAATGGGTCAGAATATGACCGTTTCATGAAAGCCCCATGAATCTATAGCTCATACTTTTTGCTGGAATAATTTAAATACTGTGTAGACGTACATACAAGAAACATTCTATATAATTAGATTTAAAAAACAAAACTACATACACAAATCTTCATCATCAGTAGACTTGGTGGTTCTGATGATTTTTATGATATCAGAGTGGATCCTATAAATCCTGTAAAAAGCAGTTTGTTTGGCTCCCAAAAACATGAGACATACCACTTTTAATGATTTCTATAGAGATTAGAAAATGTCAAGATTTTTCTTATTCAAATAAACACTTGATAATAGCTTACCCAGCCATAACATTCTAAAACTATCATTTGACAATCAATACAAGTATAAAATGTCAAACTAACCTAGAACGTGCTGAATCCATGTCTAATGTTAGTTTGTTCAAAAGTTTTCTTAACTTGGTGATATTGGGAACATCATTCTGGAATATCAAGAAAAGAAGGATTATTTATGTGGGTCTATGTAATGACAAATATTCTTGTGCATTCAAATGAACTTTACAGCTTCATACTGAATTGCTTCAACATAAACAATATTAACATTAACACAAGATTTTCAAAATGTTATACTACGATTTCATCATTTCTTGTCCTAGTATTGAGCCCTGAAGTACCCCACTTGTGACATTAATCCAGTTTTACTGAACTCCATTTACAACAACCTTCCTTCCATTCAACCAATCTACTATGCAGTGTGCAAACTTAACCCTAGATCTACAGAAATAACTTTTTAACAAGCCTTTTATGTGATACCTTGTCAAATGAGTTCTGAAAATCCAAATACACCAAATACATATACTCTTATCCACATCTACATGAGCAGTAACCTCTTCAAAGAGTGTCAAAAGATTGTTAAGGCAAGATTTTTTTTCTAGTAAAACCATGTTGACTATCCAACAAAATCTGAAACTCTGTTAAATGGCTTTGCAAAGCATCTTTTATGAAACTTTCAAAAACTTTTCACACCACTGATGTAAGATGAATAGGCCTATAACCATCAGGACAATTTCTATCATCTATCTTGAAAAGAGGAGTAAGAGTAGCAAACTTCACAATAGGTATTCCATCTAATTTACATTCAACTGTTCCTTGAAAGCCAGGTGTACTGTGAACAGACTGAGTAAGTGAGTATTAATTACACATTATAAGAATGATCTGCATACAGTAATTCATGGATATTACCACAGATGTGAGCTGCTGCACCACAAGCAACATTTGAGCACCTGTACATTTGGTTCACAGTGAATTATCAATCATTGGACAGATCACTGTGACAAGGGTAGACTTATGGCTGAAAGAATGTGTCACAGCCTCTTCCAAGGAAGGATAGTCATACAGCACGACTGATAAATGATGTTAAGCCAAGTGAAAAATAAGCACAGTAGAGCAATGTCCTCATCCACAAAGTATAGGCTAACAAAAAAGATAGCCCAAAGTGCCGATGAGATGAAGCTGAGTATCTCCTGGGACCAATAACAAGATAATATGTTACTATCACAGTGTTCTCAGTAATAAAAAAAGCATTGGGATGTTCAGTAGCTTTTATAAAGTTGATGTTCTTTATTTTTAAATTACCTTTAGATAATTATGCTTCAAATTATATTGTTACCTTAACAGAAGTAAAAGCACAATTCAATAACATTTTGCCACTTGATGGATCAAAACTAATACAATAAAACAGATAATTTGTATCTACAGTGCAGAACAGGGCAATCTCGAAAACTTCAATATATACAAGTCAAATGATGATAAAAACTCAGTCATTTCAATTTATATGATGTCTTTCAAGTTTAGTTAGAAAATAAAAAATATTCTCCAGTTAACCATCTAGTTGTAAGCAAAAAAACTAGTGTACAAACATAACATTACTATGGGAGTTATTACTACACTTTTTTTTTTTTACATCTAGTACAATTTTTGTTTAGTTTGTTTCTGTTAAGGCATGTTTTGATCTATCTGTCTTTACGTGTCAATTTATTTCCCCAATGCCGTTTGGAAGTTACTACAACAGTTATTCTTTTCCAGATTGTGCCTTTCATAGTTTCTGTATCTGTTGCAATTTTAATTTGTTTAGTTTGTTGAGACATGATTTGTTACAATCGATAAATCCCCAACACTATATGGGAGCTATCATTGCAGTTATTCTTTGCTAGAACTGTACCTTTTGCAGTTTCTGCACCTGGTACAATATTAGTTCTTATCTTATTAATGCATCTATCCATCTTTATACCCAATGGTATTTGGGAGCTATTATTGCTATTAATCATTTCCAAAATTGTATTTTTTGTATTTCCTACATAGACAAATTTTAGCTGGTTTAGTTTGTCTCTTGCGAGTGTGTGATTTGTTGTATCTATCTGTACACTATCTGTTTTATTCGTCCTTATTATAAGCGATACTTGGTGGCGAGATGAGGTCTTTTTGTTTCAAATTTAAGAGATTCAAGTGATTATATGTAACAATTTAATTTTAAGAACCATCTTTTGTTTCACAACTCAAAAGATCAATGTTTAAATTTCAATTAAATGTTCTACTACCTCTAAAAATTCTCCAATGGGTGTTAAAAGTTGTTCTTCTACAGTCATTTCATACTGCATTATTTCTTTTCCCAACTTTTCTTGCAGAGAGGCACATTTTCCAAAGATTATACTGCAATATAATGTACATGCTTGTAAAATATCAAGAAAAAAAAAGTATTTTAGTAGTTATATAAAAAAGAAAATACCTAAAGATTTTGTACAAATCGTTTTAGTTTATTTGCTGCAAGCTTTCAGTGCAGGTGTCTTAATTAGGCACAACTTCATTATCATAGGCCTATCAGTCTAGAGCAAACTTAAAAGATCATTTGTGGTGTGAAGTAATTATGACAATCAAATTTTCTAAAATTTTAATATTATATAAAATATAACAGAAAAAAAAAAGAGTCCTATAAAATCAAGAGTTAGTTTACATTCTGCTAATTTTATTTTTCATTCAATTAGATTACATCATTGGTCATCATTTATATTGGCTCTAGACTGAGAACAGTTTACTTGGCCCTGGATTTAAAATCTCACACCAAATAAACCCTCAACAGCATGTGTAAAAACATCTGTGTATTTTATTTTATTTATAATCCCACATTCATTCTGAGATTCAAAAGTTATATGCTCTAATAGTTCTTCGATACTTAAGTAGAAGTGAGATAAATATTAATATGTCATGAGGATGAGGCCATCAACTTTTGCATGAAATTGTTAGAATTTCATCTATCTTGAAGAAATAAAAATTAATCAAGACACAGAAAGCTTAAGAGAAGATAATACGATGAATACAACAGATGAATAAATCTACAATTACTATAAAGACTTAAATACTTAAAATACAAAATAAAATTCATCCTCAGTTAATTTACAGATTGTCATTTTTATCTCAGCATTTTAGATGGGTGATATGGTAATTTGACACTATTTTTAACACAAGTCTTTGCAGAAGGTCCTTTAATTCATATGCCATAACCACCCATATTTCTTGTTTCCTTTCAAGTACATTTTACTTTTAATTTATAAAAACAGTTTAAATTGCAAACATATATTTAAGAAACAACTTCACAATTCACTTCTCTTAATACTAAACATCGTCATGTCTTCAAAATGAACATTTTTCTGTTAAAACACAATGTACATATCATGAATTACAGTTATATAATAAAACAAACTGTGGCCAAAATGACAGTAATGCTCAACAGTAAATGTTTAAACTACATATTTATAATGTATCTAATGAAGTTAAACTGAAAAACGGAATTTTAACAAATGTTTTACTAATGTGTGTGATTCTTGTTTTTATGATAGTTGTAGCTCATCTTTCATAGCCAGGTCAAAGTATTGAATCTTGGTTCTAAGTAAAATATGGCAAACAAACTGACAAATGACTAAGTGATAACCTAAAAGGTTTAATGAGCACTGACAGTTACAATAATCAAAGTGTATTCTTTGCTGATAATGATAATTAGAATGTAACTAGAAAGTAGTTAAGTAGTTACATATTAAGAAAAATGTTTGACTTTATATTACACAATGTCATTAAGATAACTGATTATCAGGAAACTTTAGCATATAACAAAGACAACTAACTACAATACTAACCCTAAAATAGAACTTTCACCAAGGATTCCACTGTTTTCTGCCATACACTGAGATAATACAATTTCTCTGAGCTTTTTCTGCAAAGTGGAAGATACTTATAAACATTTTAAAAATCTAGAAAAAAAAACTTACCTTAAAGTACAACAACAAAATTTCCATTTTGGTTGTTAAACATGTGATGCTGCATTTGTTCTTGTATATATTATTAATAGCTTTTATCCTCAAAATTTTATGTTTATACAAAAACAATAATACCACCTATCTGTATAATGACAGCATTTTTAACAAACATTGAAAATTATGGATATCCCTCTCCACACCTCCATGGAATTCTTGCTGTTTTTCAATAGGTAAAAAAAAAAAAAAAGAACAAACCAAATGTTTAAAATATACCACAATTTTATAATCTTCTCAATTATACTGCTGTGTCATTTTTGTTTCTGGAAAATACAGTTATATACCCAGTTCAAATGTAAAAAAAAAGAAGTTTTACAGACTAGTTAAGTGAAAATTTGAAAGCACAGCATTTAATTTTGAAGTGAATTAGTTGGAAAAAAAACCAACCAGACTTTTTTTTCTTCACAAAACATTTCATATTCAGATAGAACTTCTGTAAAATACTGATCATATAAGAACCTGCAACACCCCACAGCTCTCAGTGAAGTTGAACATGTATATTATATAGTTTTTTTATGGTGACTGTTTTAACAATGAACTTTTATAGAATTATGACCAAACCATCCAATATCATAAAACTATTCACATATAGTTTAGTAAATGTACCAATTTCACAATTAAGACTCACTTTACCATATAAATGTACACATTGCCACTATTGTTTATATGACGATTACTCACTTATACAAATTACAAACATCATAAATGATATGTACACAGTAAAGATGGAATGAAACCCAGCTTTAATAATCTCATTTAAAACTGCAGTTTTAAAGTACCAGCAACTTGACAGTTACCAGTCCTTTCAGAGACATGTTTCAACACTTACCAGCCTCTTTTCTGGACCTGAAACATCTGTTCCTCCACTCTGTAGACATCCTGCAACTTTCTTTGCAGTATTTTGGCAGGACTGCTTGACCAGTTCAACGCGTTTCTCAGCACTGACCAGATCTTCTGTCAAGACTTCAGTCTTCTCTGCTCTATATCATTAGAATTTAGAACCATCATTAAACATCTTTAAGGCCTCCATATAAATCTTGAAAAATTGCTTAAATTTAAATCAACTTTTTAGATGCAAGCAATGTTCTTATGTTAAAAAGAAATATTAAAAATCTTAATGTAAACAAAAGCACAAAGTTCCTTAGGCTGGACGAGTAATGTTTCTCCAGCTTGGGGCATTTACACACCCATAGCTGGCTTGAAGTGTCATATTTCTCCAGCTTGGGCATTACACACCCATAGCTGGCTTGAAGTGTCATATTTCTCCAGCTTGGGCATTACACACCCATAGCTGGCTTGAAGTGTCATATTTCTCCAGTTTCGGGATTACACACCAGTGGCTGGCTGGAAGTGTCATGTTTCTCCAGCTTCAGCATTACACACCTGTGGCTGGCTGGAAGTGTCATGTTTCTCCAGCTTCAGCATTACACACCTGTGGCTGGCTGGAAGTGTCATGTTTCTCCAGCTTGGGCACTACAAACCCATGGCTTAATTCCACAAGGTTTTTAAAAGAAATTTACACTAAACTTTTGGTGTTACAACTGAGCCATCTAGGTGAGTCCTACTACATCTATTTACAGTAGCCCTTAACCACTAAACTGTAGAAGCAATGCCATTCATTCATTCCTCCTACTGGAAAATCATATTAAAGTCACTTGAAGATTTAAATTGTATTGAAATTATTTATTGTGATGCTAATTCTCAATTCTACCAGTTTCAGAGTTATACACAATGAATACTTTAAACAGTTCTTAAGGAAGGAAAAATTAGGTATTATGATAGTACTTGTCTAATAAGATCTTTATTCATTTAAGAAAAGGATATATCAACTTCTAATAATGCACAGAAGACAATAAAGGATCAAACAGGAATGTAAAAATTATTAAGTCTAATTGCACATATCATATGAACTTAAAATCATGTATGAGAAATTAAACTCAGTATTGTCCTAAAAAGCAAAATATAATTGTCAAGAGGTATAACTATGTTCACTGTAGTTAAAACATCGACATTTATAAAGCATAGTAAGATATTTTTCTCTTCAGTACATGTCACAAAATCAGTATTTATGAAACATGGCCATGGTTTCTCTGTTTGGTACTTTAAAAAAATTTAGATATTAACTTTTTATTAATGGTTTTCATTGTTCAGTATAAATCAGAAAATAAACATTTATAAAACATTTCAAGGTCTTTTCAAATGAAGTCTTAGAACGGATGATATGTCTTTTCCCCCTTCTAACTTAGTAATATTACATTATATACAATTTCCTTCCTTACCCCCCCTTTCAACCTAGTGCTGCATATTTGTTTTTTACTGTGATTGGCCAATCACCACTTAGCAATGGCTAAGTGAGGTGCATACATATATCTATGGGTTAGAAATTCAAAGTGTGTTGGTTGTGGTAAGAAGATCATGTAAGATGTTGTTTCAGTATTTGTTTTATATGTAAAGTGTAACTATTAAATTTTAATCAAGCTTTACCCGATGTCCATATTATCAATACGAGAGTATCTTTACAAATGTCGGCAAATTCCATAAGTAACACAGGAGTTTGATGATAATTTAAAATACCTATATTATAAACTCACGAAATATAGCTGTACTATTCATAAATTCATACGCAAGTTAAATCTATTTCAATTTATAAATTCACTAGTACACTCAATTTTCACTCACATGCAAGTACAGCAAGTAATTTGAATTTGTCAAAATGAAATGTAGCTGTTGAATGCATCGACCACATAGTTACAAGAAATTATTCATGCCATAAAATAAGCCGAATGTGAACCACATTGTTTACTGTTTCTATTTATTTCACCATTTAACCCTATTCCCAATTTCAACCATAATGTTTTTTGCTCTCAATTTACTATTAAAATATTTATTAAATATATAACAATTATAACAGTACTCAAAGGATGATAACTAAATAAACACAATCTTTTAACATACGCTGGTGAGGAAATGGTTTAAAAAGAACAAAAATTTCAACTATGAGTTATGAAACTGCTTTTGACAAATATCCTGCTCAATAATTTTTTTATAACCATATATTGAACAAATATACTAATACATACAATCTATATGAATAATTACTTAAAAATAAAAGGTACTTGTATTATTTTTCTTCATCCTTCACTACTACTATTATGTTTCTGAAAGATAACATCAGAATACAGAAGTAGCTTCAGAAAGTTTTAAAGTTTCAAATCCACATAACTTTTAATCTCTGTTACTATGACAACATTAAGTGTAAACCTCTCAAGCTGTAAGTACCCGTACAGGTAGATATAATCCTTTTAAATAAATCTAGTATCTATAACAGCTGTTTGATGTGGCCTATAACCCTGTTGCCTGGAGGCATTGAAATATGGCTTATTGATCTGAGATAAAGTAAAAAATTGTGTGTGTGTTCTTTCTTAACTTTCATCTAAACACTTATTCTAATCTAAAAATGTTGTATATTGGATTATAATTTAAAACTAGAAAATGTATTGAGTGCTATTAAAAAATATTACAATCAATCCTACAAAAAAACTAGTCAAAAGTTACAGTAATCCTTATTAAAAAGGATTAACTGTTGACACAGAATACTATGGAAGCCATCAGGAAGCCACCCTGGAATTCCATATGATGTTCCTAAGGCACAAAGAAAGATGGCCAGTTAGAACCATAGTATTATGGATTACATTTTAACCTGTACAATCATTAAATTTGAAGTCTGAATTTTTCCACTATACACTACTATTCTGCCCTGCAATATTATTTGGAACACAACAGCAGTCGATCTGATCAATGTACTGGAAGGCCCTAGAGTGACATCACGTAGATATGTTGATGACAATTGTTGCAAGCATTTCACACATACCAATGAGAGTGGTAGAGAGTCTGTAAAAAAAGCCAGCAAAAATCTCTGAGTGGATTACAGATACCAAAATGTTCATCACAACAGATATAGCTTGTTGGATGTTGGCTACTAGATTCCACACAGGCACCTTTCTCATCACAATGATATACACAAACAGAAGAACATAAGGAATCTTGATACTTTTTAGGGTGTTGTGATGGATCACAGGATGACAATGTCTACACACAAAATGATCATATGACAGAGAAAAATCAATGAAGAGTCTTATAATTCTCAAATGTACTGCAGCCCAGAAAGTGCAGCAAAGGAATCCCATCAGTCTATGAGATTAACAGTCATGACCAAAAATAAATATTGAATAAATGTATGCACATAAGTGGCAAATTCAGCTATGACTAGGTTTACAGATGGTGCAGATTGCAGCCAAAAAAATAGCATTAGGAGCAGCCAAATCAAAACCTTACACTTCTAGCTCGGGTTTTAGCAGCACTACTAAAAAACAATGAATTCTAATAAGTCAAGAGCTGCTACTCATACCAAACCACAACCATATCTCACCCACTATATCAGCACTAGAGAGAGAGCAGATGAAGCAGTAACACAGAGACTGTAATCAGTCAACTCGTGGGTCACTGAGGCCAATAAAGATGTAGAGAAGATACATCCATTACAAAATAACATTAAGTTGAACACAATGACAATTAGAAGAAGATTGTAGAGGGAAATGTCATAACTGGAAAGTCATGGAATAGATATACAAGAAAATACCAAGACATATATCAATGAATGGCTCAGTTAAGAAAAAACACAACTACATGGGCAAGAGCTAGGTGGACAGATGGAAATCTTATTTTTGAATAGTCAGTGGTCAGAACATGGTAATCCACTGCATTCAGAATAGCATGTGAAACATATGAGGACATACTTTTTTTTTGGATGTCCAGTAACAGTGAAAATCACGCTCCTGACAGATTCCTTAAACCTCATCACAAGATTAGATATGGGTTTTATCCATATAACATGGGTAAAACCTTTGAGAGACTTGAAGGCTCATTTTATAATGATCTATATTCTGGGTCACAGAGGCATATCATTTAATGAGAAAGTAAACTGCATAGCTGATAAGGCACAGCCACTGGGCAACCTGGCAAGATTTCTGAATAATGTTATCAGTGAAATAGGAAAAGAGGAAACAGGGGTCACACTGGTCAATCAGAAGAAAGAGGATAGAAGTGTGAGACTAGAGCAACGTGAAAGTATGTGGAAATAACTGATGCTACTTATATGAATTGAATTGGGCATTATTATTAGAAAAACTTTGTGGAAATTATTAGAGAGGAGAACCTGCACCAAATTTTCAAGCATATAATAGTATTAGAAATAATAGGATTAAAATTATTTTAATTTTTTAAATGCGTAAGTGGTGTTAAAAATAATATATCGGGCAGGTTGTAGCACTACCTATGTAGGAATGGCTCAGATTGTTCATCGAAATGGTATTTTAAATATCTCCTCCATAGGTCATCAAAACTTTGAATTATTATACAGTGTTTTCTTATATAACATCTATTTAATAACTGAGTCATAAGCTCTGGGAATGTCTGTAAATGTAATAGCAAAAAGTTTGAATTTCTTTTTGTATTGCATAACTCAAAAACCAAATTCACTGAAGTGACCGTTTCAAACGAACTATCCAATTTTTTAAGTATTATTAATTGGTGGTAATTTAAAAAAAAAATTCTAGT